TAATATATATTCTATTATTTTATGTTTAAAACCCAAATTATGAATCCTCCTTTAAAATGACTTCCTTATCTTTGATTTATTGGCATGTTTTTAATCTTGATTCTGGTGTGTTCATTATCCACTTTACTTGATCATCGATGTATTTTAAGTAAGAATGATAAAAAATTAATATTAAGATGAAAAACTATATTCAAAGCTCTTTATAAATTCAATTATTTTCAAAATATATAAATAATCACAATTTTTTAATAGTCACCTCAAATTTTTTTTATTCTAGAAGTCTGACTAAGTATTTTAATTCATCATCTTAAAATTCCTAAACTTTAATCAATTCAATATATATTTTTTTCTCTTTTCCATTATTCATATCTCTCAAAATATTGGAAAATTGTACTTTAGAAAATTAACATTTCTTTATAATTAACTTAAGGTTTTTAAGATTATTAAATGAAAATTATGAAAAGTCCAAAAGGAGATTTTCAAAGGTTAGATCAAGATATTATAAGCTACCTGAAATATTTTTATAAAAATTAAATGATATCATTTCATTTGTGAGATTTTTAAGAGATATCTTCATTGCTTTTAAATTTTAGAATCTTTAAAAAAGCGTATGACATTTTTATAATTAAAGATTGCCTGCAACTTCAAAAAATAACCCTTCAAAATTGTATCTATCCAATCTTATGAATTAATCGTCAATATTTAAAATTGCTTACGAAGGATTGATTTGTTATTGTCTATACTATTTTATAATTTAATAATAGGAATAAGAAAACCATCTTATGGTTTGACTGTTTCCAAGTTTAAAGTTCATTTTTCTTTCTTCAAAAGTTTCAACAGAGATTTGTAAGAATTTTAATTTGGATGGGAAAAATTCCATATACGAATTAACTTATTGAAGGTCTTATTATCTTATTTCGTCTAAATTAAAGTTAAGCTTCAATGAAAAAATCTGGCTAGCTTTTATGCATTTCACAAAATCATTTATCTCAGGTCCCATGCATAACAGTCTTTATGCTTGATCTATTTCTAAAACGCTTTAAATTGAAGCAAGAACTTATCTAAATTAAGCAAGCATCTTCTCTTTTTTATCTCCTTCATAATTGGAGAAATCTAAAGTTTTCAAATTGATTTTAAAAGTACATTTGTTCTTTATATAGCTTTCCTTCACTTTCGACATGATTTGAAAAGATTTGGGATATTCTAATAAAATTTAATTTGATATCGAATTCAAATAAAGCATGGATTAATAAAATTATTCAACTGAAACAGTACTTAAAATTAATGCCGGTATATAAAAGTCTTTGATTGTAATTTCTAAAATATCTTTTACTGCTTAAACTCCTTCTTTTAATTGCTATAAAAAAGAAATAACCCAAAGACCAGTTGAACCGTTAGAGGATAAGGCCAAAATATGAACAAATAATTAAGGTATCTTATTTAAAGCTTCTTCCACACTAGCTCTCCACATTACAGCCTCATAAAATGGTAATTATTTCATTGCAAAAAAACCTTCAGAATTACTGCTAACAGTTACAAATTAAAATACTGAGATAGGTAGACTTCCTTTAAATTTTGATGCATAACTTTTAAATTTTTTATATCCTTCTGCATTGAATGGTCTATTTGCTAAGTCATGGAACTTAACTATAAAATTATACATAATTATCATTGCGATATCCCAAACTTTGATAAGGTTCAATAAACCAAAAATGAGGGCATATATGGCTTTTTCTAAAAATGAAAAGTCTTTAGATAGCCTTTCTTGAAATATTATAAATGATATGAGTTATAAAATAAAATTGCCAAAGGCCAGCCCTAATAATGAAGTTATATAAGGATCCAAGTTATTTGTAATATAAATCAAAGAAATAATTGAAAAAGATAAATTAATTAGTGTCCAAATACTTTAAAGAGCTGCTTAAAACACAGTTAATTAACTCCAAGCGTCATAAAGCTCTTTCACCACTAACAAAAATTTAAATCGACCTAATTTTTCAGATAAGAGGTATGTTTTTGTTAGGACTTTAATAGTACTTTTCGCTTTTTCAATAATTTTGTTAGAGTCTTCCCTCATTTCATAATTTACGCTTTTAAATTCTTCACTCAAAATAATAAAGTCGTTTTCTTATGTACCATTTTAATTCATTGTTACCACTTAAAAACCAGAATTCAGTTTTGGATTTTCAATAAATTGAATCTCCTAGATCCTTTCCTCCTCTGCATCTGCATCAAATTTATCATTGTCCCATAAGTAATCCATACTGTCGTCTTCCTGATATTCAATTTTTAATTGTGTAAATTCTTAAACTGGAAAGATATCTCTTAGTTAATTTAGCATGCTTTGATTTTTATATAAAAGACTGATTTTTTCAACCTTAATCAATCTAAAACAATTAGCTAAATACTAGAGTGTAACAGATTCATATCCATCGATAAAATGAAATTAGATATTTTAAAATTGTTTTTAACTTGTCAAAAAAGTAATAATTTAAACCATACATCTTTTTTTTTGATAAGAATTGAAATTACTTGGATCTATATGAAAATAAAAAGATTTAACAAATGCCATGTATTTTTCATCAGATTTTAATAACTATTTAGTTTCATTTAAGTACTTCAACTTTATTTTATGCAATTTAAATTAAATCTCCGTTTGCATTTACCTATAAGAAGTTGTAAATACAATAAAAATCAATTCGATTAGATAATAAGCTCCATTGAAGATTAATAAAATATAAGTAAAAACATTATACCCATCATCCCATAACACTTCTTTTGTGTTATAAAAGCCTTAAATAAAGAGCTAAGGAAGGGTTTGAAGACACAATGTAATAATCATAGAAACAAGAGCTACTCTATGAAAAATTAAATCTCTAAACATATTAACAGGCTTAGTTCTTTTTTTGAAAAGCCTTGCTGAGTTTCTAAATTTGTCTTTATCTTCCAAAATTAAGTATTTGTTGATTTCACTAAATGAGAACTATTTAATAGATTTATTTCTATTATAATAATGTATGAAAGGAGCTAATTTAAAATAACTAAACAAGCCCTCAATCAAGGATATGAAATACTATCCAATTATAGACAATATATCCAGTTTCACAACTTATCTAAATCTAAAAGTGTATATACAGGTTACACTATGAAGTAAAGCGCACATTATTATTGAGAGATAATAGCAGCTCAAATAAACTGACTCATTATCTGGAATATTATTATGGGATTTGTACCCTAAAGTAAAGCCAAGTTCAAATATGTTCAATATATAAATCGCTACTTGAAATCCTATTTTAGCATTTGATTTTAGGTCACTTGATCTTCTTTTAACTTCCTGATACCGAGCATTAATAAAATCAGAGAAGTCACTAAACAAATCAATAGTTGTGTGAGATCTCCAGGAGAGATTTGGTTCAGGAGGATTTTACCAAAACCTCAAATTAAATGAATTTTGAGATTTTATAGTTTAAGTTTTTTCTGAATGTCCATTATTTTAAATCTAATTTAAAATAACAGTACTTACATTTATTGTTTGATCCTCTAGGTCAGATTAATTATTATATTTATTAAAATGCTGTCTGGATGGTTAAGTATCATCTTGATTTTGTAAATTCCTTTACATAAATTATTATTTGAGTTAGATTCAATAGATTTAGTTATAAATGATCAACTCAGAAAATATCAGAAAATTATAATTCTACATTTGTTTCCTAAGACATATAAAGTCAAAATTACATGCAATCATTTTTATAATAAAATACTCTAAATTTTTAGCCAATCATAATTAAATAAATTCTAACTAATACATTTTTTTTAATTTAGTTTCTAAATTCCAAAATAAGTTTTAATGAACTCTAAACTATTAAACCTCTATGTCAGTTAATAACTCGAGATAAAATATATATTTATTATATTATCATTTGTATGCTTTGTACAAGAAAGAAAAAATTAATGGAACGAAATCTTCAATTACTAAATCAAATATAGAAGTTTATTTAGTCAGTCATGCATGTTTTATTTTCGACCTTTTAATCAAAACTGTTTAAAAATTACCACATTTGCTATTCAGAACAGAAAATAGAGTTTTCGTGTAAAAATAAACCAGAATATCCTTCTAAAATAACTGCAATTTTTATCAATTAATTAATTCCATTTATTAAACCTGTTTTGATCGACATCAAACACTCACTTCTTACATATTAGTGGTATTAGAATAGATAACATACTCATAAACTTGAGAATTACAATCATTTGTTAACTTTCATGTAAGCAAAGATTAAAGAGACTATCCAGAATATTCGTAGCACTTAGTGTATTCAGTTATGTATAATCTGAATACACTATTAATAAATATTTACCTTGCATTTACTGCAATGTAAAAGGTAGAAAAACAGTATTGCTGTAAAACCAATACATCGAGCTCACCATCGCGATTTAAAGGATAATTAATCTGATCAAGTAAAATAATCAGAACATTATTAAATATTTGGAATACCTTTTAAACTTCATGATGGTTATCTGACTGCATTAAAAATTAAATTGTACTTTTTTACTAATTATACAAAAAATATTGAAAATAATACAACCAATTACTTTGAGAAAATTTACTTTTACTCTAGCTATGTTTGATTTTTAACAATTTAAATAAAGACTTTTTCTTCCAGTCTTTAAAAACAAACAGATTAACAACTCTTCCTCTAATTTGAAATAAATTTTAAACACACTCTATTAAATAATATATTTAGTATCATGTTAGATATCAATAATTTTTCCTTAACAAAAATTTTAAGACCTAAAGAGTTACATTTTGCACTCTTAAGCAAAAATTAAAAAGTTAATCAAAAAATTCAATAAAAAATATTCATTAATGCGTTCTTGAATTTTTTGATTGAGACATATATGATTAAGGAATAATAGAACAAAATAATTATTTTTAATATTCTAGTTTATAAACTTCTTTTGCTAATGCACATTATGTTGTTGTTAAGCAGTGTATATAATAATCTCATCATTTAGTAGATTGTTTAAATTACATAAAGACTTCTAGTAATTTCTGATCTTGTGAAATTGAGGAAGCCTTAAAACATATCAATAATTTAATTTTTGTCTTCTATTCTATCATTTCCTATTTTCAAATGATTTTTAATTCATTGACAGTGTTGGATATAAACTTTGCTCTGTTATATTAGTAATTTGTGTAAGTTAGTTCCTATCTGAGGATATTATCTTTAGAACATGCAGAGTAGCTCAAATGAACATGTTGTTTAAAATTCTTTCAAGCAAAGATAATATGGTATCTTAAGCAACCAAACTTCGCATGCTTCTGAGTCCATTAACATTTTGATACATGGATTTGAATGTGTACAAATTTAACGAGTTGGTAGGTCTAATAAAATTGGCCATCTTATTAGGTCAGCATTACAGCTTTCACATTTTTAGTTTATGCATCTGCATATATATATAAAATGAGCGATCTTACTGATTGAGAATTTCATAAATAATTTGACAAATGGAAACTATAAGATGTGCTAAATTTAGAATTACGCAATTAGGATAATGAATTGCATCAATTAGGGCTTCAATTAAGGATAAATTAACCATGCATCATAGAATTCTTATATGCCTACCTATGGGCACATATCAAGATATTGGATGTGGCTATAGATGGTAAACAAGATTTCTATGAATCCATTGTATGCAAGAAATTTTTTCTATTTTCAACGTTATAACCGTCAAGACATTATGAATTTATGGTCTTAATTCTAGGCATTTGAAAACAAGAGATTAGGTTTGGACTACAGATTTGAAATCTCTATAATCAAGTAAAGCAAACCAATTGATTAATTCCATTTTATTTTAGGAATATGAAAATCTTACAATAAGTAGTAAGCTAAACTTTTAAAAGATCAAGGAGATATTTAATTTAAATAAATTCTACATTTTTTTAAGTTCCAAGATGAGTCAACGTGAATAATATAACTCTAAGATACAACAAGAATTACAAAGATTTTGATTTGAGACATCAGGTATTACTTACTCCATTGCTTAGTAAACTTTCTCAACATTTAACAAATTTGTAAAAATTTAGCAGATATCACTAGCTGATTTACAATTTATGTACCAACTTGAACTTTAAGTGCAATGCAGTAGTGTTATGTAATGGGGGGAGGGAACGGTTTGACATTTATGAGTATATCAGCTACAAGGTTCGGAAAAATGCTCCAATTGAATATTAAGTTTTCAATACTCCTTATTAGAAAAGTTTACAGTATTTGAGAGGAGACTGCTGGCACAAGC